AATTTGTTTAATTTCTTTATTTTCTGTTCTGAGATATTAAACAATATCTCAGAATGGGTAAAGTTTAAGAAACGAAATGTGGCACTGTAGCTTGCGTATAAAGGGGCATTAATACTATTAAATTTTGGTTCTTAATTAAAGGTCGACAGGGTGAAGACCTAAAAGTGGTCATGTGTCATATCTCTTAATTAATATTTTACTCGTTATTAGCATTCAAAATTTAAAAAAAATAAAATAAAACTCGTCTCTACCCTCAAAGTAAGCTTTTTAGCCATTTTATAATAGTACAGTAAAACCCATTAAGATGTTCTCGCCTAAGATGTTAGAATGTATATGGGGACACGATTTAGTTCAACCACTTTAACGCTTAATAACTAACTCCTGTGTTAAAAACATCTGACTCCAATTCTGACCACTCTGACTACAGAAATTATTAGGCTTCAAACAGGGTGAACAAAATCATGCTCCCCCCCACACAGTCTAACATAGAAAAACCAGTCTAATATAGAACACAGTCTAACATAGAAAAACCAGTCTAATATAGAACACAGTCTAACATAGAAAAACCAGTCTAATATAGAACACAGTCTAATATAGAAAAAACCTCGAATCTTTTGCATATCTCCAAATTTCAAGGTGTCCCGAGTCCAAAAATGTAAAAATTTGGGAGGGGTCATATTTTGAGCGAGCACTACACTTTTCCTGTTATATATAACAGCTGGAAAAGTAAAAATTATCGAATACATTTTTACTTAGAGAAGTCTTTTAGCTTCTAAGTACATTACTTAGAGAAGTCTTTTAGCTTTGGAATAAAACTATATTCCAGAGCTAAGAGATGTTCTATCTTTATTAGAACTCTATTTATTGAATCTTTTATTCTGAGGTCACGTGATGACATCAGAATTTCCGGGTTTCTTTTGGAAACAAGTTCGTCCCTGGTCGGAGTTGGATGGTAAGAAAAAGTCGGAGTTGGAGTCGGTAGATTTTTACGTGACTCCACAGCCCTGCTTTTTAGGCTACTGTCTCCGTAGTAAAAATGCAAAGTATGATAAAAGCAACATCTGGTGTACTTGCCACAATCACAATAATACATTTTAAATAAAATTAATAATGAATTTAACATGGCCAACGGTAATGTACATGAGTTTTGTGATTTTATGAACTGTGATGGTGCAAATGGAAAGAAAGGACTGAAGTAAACTTTTATCTTTGTTAAAAGTTGTAATTATATTTATTATATTATTAAACAATAATTATATATTTTATTATTATAAAATTTCAAATATATTATTTTGTATATAATTTCAAAATTAAAAGATTTTTTGGAATGAAATTTTAAATAAATAAATAAATAAATACTAATTTTCTTTTTATTAAAATTCAATAAAAAGTATAATTGCCATTCAGTTTCTATTTTTGACTTGTTTCTATTTTTAAATTTAAAATTAGAAGTATATCCATCTGAAATTAGTTGATTTATTTATTTATTAAAAATTTTAACTGCATTCCAATAAAAAAAATTATAATTTTTAAGTAATTTTAATTTTAATTTTCATAATTTAAAGAATAAATAAAGAGAAAAATGAAAAGATACAGAGGAAGATAGATAGACTGAGAAAAGAAGTTGATATTACCAGAGTGAGTTTTAATATATTTTATTCAGTATCATTATAAAATTGAATTTGTTTTAAAAATGCATATGAATGAAAGCAAACTAAGATAAAACACAATCTGATTTTCCTCATACTTTTGGGCTCTAATATCCATATTCAGAGGAAGTCTTTACAAGTTGTAAGAACAATATTTTGTTTTTATTAAAATGTATGAATGTATTAGGGAAATTGGTTTTTATCTTAGTTTCTAATTATTTGTTTGCATTTGTAAATGCCATTAAAACAGTTGAACTGGTGTTTGGACTTTGTAAGAAATTTTTCATGTAATGTACATACACTAGTGACTTGGTGCCATATGCTCAACTTTTTTCTCCCTAATCTTTACATAATATAAGATTAGATTAGACAAAAAACTTGGACAAAATCTGATTCTAAACACTTATGTTTCCTTTTATAATCAATACACAAAGGTTAATAACAACAGACCATGAGCTTTTTTTTATATGATAAGTAATACCTTCCCAGCAGCATAAATATATGTGCAACATATTCCTGGTTGTTATAAATGGTAGGAAAACTGGACTTGTTTAATAAATAAAGTATCCTACTTGAGATATGGTTTACAAAATAATTGGCTCAATCACTATAACAGGCATCTCCCTATATGCCTGAAAGCCTTACTCCTCTGAAAAGTCTGAGGCAATAAATTTATGTGCACCCAGCATTCACATACAGTTACCACTTTGTGGGATCTCCTTTTGCAGCATACATGTCAGCAAAACTTGCATAGGCATTGATGTGTTGTAGGCACAGCAAAAATCTTCTGGAATGTTGATCCACATTTCCTGAAGAACCATCTTCAGCTAGTCTTGTTTGGGAATAAATAAAATAACAGTTAATAAGAACAATGAAGAGGATGAGGACCAAAGATTCTTGAGGACACACTAAAGGTGAAAAATAAATGATTTTTACCAGTTTTTAAACTGGTCAGATTTCCTCCCAAGCTAACTTTATAAAAATGAAGACATCTTAACAATCAACCTTTGTATAATGTTAATATGGTTCATTTCAAAATTATAAACACACCAAACTTTTTTCAATAACAAAAACGTTAACAATAGTAATGTATTTATTGTATTAGTATATTGTTTACAACATCAATTTAAAATTTTTCTGAAATTTTTAGAGCTATCTGACAATTACAAAAAAATTATCACAGATTTTCAATTTTTGATTGTTTCAAAAGTATAAACACAGATGTATAAAATTAGTATAATAATTTATTTAACTAATTAAACCAATAATTAATGTCACCAGAAGGTAGTATCATTCATTATTACAAATGTGATGCCAATTTTAAACAGTTATTTGTGATTTAACAGCTTGGCCATCCAGCCAAATTTGCTTTATTTTAAATGATTAATTTTGAGGAAATTAAATAGTTAGAACTTAAACATTACAAACAATGTTAATTACCAAAATTTAAAAAAAATAATAATAATCCTATAAACAAACAGTAGTCATGTGTTTGCAAGTTGGCAACAACTCAGTTTCTTGCCTTCCCACATGGTACATCAAGGATTGCACTGACTGATTTTTAGTGTAGTATTGGTATGTAGTTTATTTTTTCTTTTGGAGAATCTTTTGCAATATTGTTGAAATCATTATTACTTAATATATTGACTGGACTGGGTGTTTTCATTAAATTTTAACTTACAATTCAGTATACTTTGTAGATAACAGTTAATAGAATTAGGCCTAAGCCTTTGTAATATGACCAGTAAAACTAACAGTGTTGTGTGGACCTTCTTCGAAACTACCACCTAATGGAACAAAGTTAAATGCCTATTATGTCATGGCATGTATTCTGCTGCTAGGAACACATCTAATGTGTGTGATTACTTAAAATGCAAACGTCTTTTAAAACTAAAGGAATTGAAAAGCAAATTTCAACCTTGAGTCGAAGAAGTTGTGAATTCCAAGGAAAACAACAGTGAAATTGTTTCCATATCTACTACTGCTACTACATCAGATACATCTATCGGAAAGCAAATTCTGACACAGCCAGGAATTGCTTCTGCATTTCAGCAATTGGCAATACTTGCAGAATAAAACAATGCAAAATATCAAAAATGCATTAATGCACTCTTGTATATGATTGTCAAGGATTGTATTCCTATTGACACAGTAGAATCTACAGGTTTCTGCTACTTGATCATAACAATGCTTCCTCAAATGGAAGTGCCTGGCAGGAAAACAATTACTCACTGGCTGGATTTGAAGTTCAAAAAGGTGAAGGAAGTTTTGAAAAAAAAAGTTGCAGATATAAGTCAGATGACATTGACAACCAACATTTGGACTGATATGCTGAACACTTGGGTATATTTAGGTTTAACTGCTCATTTTGTAATAGAGGAGAAGGTAGTCTGTCATTTTATCTGTAGCAACAAAGGCAGTACAACACATGGGACAATATCAGAGCGAAAATTATGAAAATCCTGCAAGCGTGAAATATTCCCGAGTCAAGGATCATGTGTATTGTGACAGATGGTGGTAGTAATTTTGTTAAAGATGTTTAGGATATGTTTGGTTTAAATTGCCATTTGCATTGCTTTTCCCACATGCTGAATCTTGCAGCAAATGATGCAATAGGTGGGTGTGTGGCATTTTGAGACACGATTTCTCAAGTAAAAAGCATCATCACTCACTTCAAGCATTCTGTAAAAACTACAGATAAGCTGCATGAAGAGCATTTGCTAAGTGGTGTTTCACCAAATTATGTTCTCAAATTAAAACAATGTTTCAACCCATTGGAACTCCAGGTTTGTAATGTTAGAACACTTTATTGCATTATACTCTACTCAGTGCATTTTACCTGTCAATGTGTCAGCCATCTTGTTTTGCCAGTGTGGTTAATATGGACCCGACGCCTCTCGCTTAGGGGGGTCGACTTTAGGTAAAAAGGTTACGACCCTTGCCTTGCTCGCGATCTGTCAGGATGATGCGAGAAAGTCTTTTTACGTTTTGGGATAGTGGTTTGCTGGACGCTGAGAGACTCACACAGGGACCAAATTTACAAAATTAACGCGTTTATTTTTAGAAAGACATGCTTACAATGATCGAAACAATCGGGATTGTAGCCTTTACTCCTACAATCCCGATCTGTGTCGACCGGACTGTTTTCTTCCAACCTCCCCGTGTCCTCGAAGCTATAACTAGAACGGGCTTATAAGTATTTACTAACGATTCCTCCAACTTCCATCAAACCTAAACGCGTTTTCTCAGCAGCTGCATATATGTGCAACAAATTGAGAAGCAGACTTGGTGATGAGACACTGGATGCGTTGTTATTTCTCAGATCATATTTTCGCAATTCAAATTAGAATGTTCCTATTAGATTAGTTTTCTTTATATTTAAGAAAAATGTGACTGATTAATATTATTTTTAAATACTTTTTGCTAAGAAACTTACTTTACTACCTACTTACTAGGTTGTTATATGAAAGTAGTCTATTTAGTCGATGTTAAGAGAGATTTTTGTTAATTTTCAACGTTTATTTGCATAGTTTGTTACATAAATATTTTTTCAATTTATGTGAGTTTAAAGAGATCTCAGTGATGCTTAAAAAGAATAAATTTAACATGAAGACGGAGTGATTTTAAGTCTGGTTAGTCTGACTCTAAGTCTGATCAGTTAGAGTGATTAAATTAACTAGGTGTATACCGTAAAATACGTTGATTTTTGTCTAAATTTTGATTTGTTGATTTCTGTAAGATTTTCTTATTTTTTATTAAACCTCAATACCGAAATAATCCCGGGATCCCGGGATTGAATAAGTATAATCCCGAAATCCCGGGATTAGAAATAAGGACCGGGATCGAATTCCCTAGTTGGACCTGAAGAGGGTTGAGAGACTTATTTTAATGTCAAATTTGACATTACAGGAATGGTCCGTCCTCAGATAATGTAAAATCGAATAATTTGATTCAAAATCATTTTCAGGCAAACAGAACAAAACAAACATTGTGTATATAAGTTTTTGTGAATAAAAAATTTTTTCATTTATTACTATTTTTTTTTGTATACAGGACAATTTATATATGCCTGTGATATTTTTGTGATTTAAGGCTATTAACAGAAACTATCAATAATATTGATAATTTTTAAAAAAATATTAATACTATCTTAATCTTAACCACTCAGCAGTGACCAACAGATATATCCGTCAAGGGCAATCTTGTGGCAGTGGTGAATATATCCACAAAAGAATTTTGTGGATATATTCATTACTGCCACAAGATTGCCCTTGATGGCACCACTGCCACAAGATTCGTGGTAGTTTTTGGTGATATCCACAAAATTCTTTTGTGGATATCACCAAAAACTACCACGAAAAAAAATTTACATAAAAAAGGAATTATGTAGCAATAAAAAAAAGACTTTTGTTTACTAGACATAACAGTTTACGAAATCTTTTTCTGAGACGGTAATGAGAAAAATGCGTGAAAAAAATACTGTAAAGATTTCCCACGTTTATTCTCTACTACATAGTGATAGCACCATACCTGACTAACCTACTGCTGAAAGGTTAAGACTATCAATAGTAAATTTTGGACTATCACCTATCTCTTTATTTATTTTATATTTATCAGAAGCTTTCCTTAAATATATGATGTCCAGTGTGGTCCTGTACATTTTTATGCTGTAGACTTCAGTTCCTGTTCATTTTCTTGTAACAGATACTTTGAAATCCTTAGGAATTGTAACCATAAACTCCTACTAACACCAATACTACATGATGTGAACTTAGTGATTTAGGACCATTTTTACCATTTTCTAAGTAATCTTTAGACAAAATAAAAATTAGATTAGACAAAAAAAAAACTCAAGATAAAATCTGATTATAAAAAGCAACATAATGAGTATTTACAATGAACAAGCAAAGACAATAACAGACTATTCTTTACATTGCTGTTTTTCAACCTTTTTCTCATCACAGGCTAATAATTTTATGTGGATCAAGT